CTCCTTTATATCGGTAGATGAGTCGTGTCGTTGTGTTCACAGTGGCACACCATCATGTCATCACGAGACGCCTTGCGTAACCCGCATTGAACCGTGACCTTTGTTGCAGTGTGCTACATACGATAACCACTGGTTACTCATGCGCGATTCAATATTTGTTTAACGATGACTAGTGAACACACACTTGCTTTTAAATAGTAGGTTAAATACTTAGTTTTGAACGTAGTGGTTTGCTTTCTTTTGTTTAAGCTATGACAAATAGGTAGACATCAGCAAATGCAGCTAAGTTACTTGGTGGAATTTGTTCCATTTAAGTTTTAATTAATTGAAAACTAATTAGCCTAAAATTCGCGCTAACATTTCCTAATGGAGTATTACCAAAGTTCTAGATTTTCATCTGATATAGATACCAAGTGTCAAAAGTTGAAAGTTTTACAGCATGATCGGCGACAACGAGAGCCTCGCTAAGTGCCAATATCAATTTAACGTGTGGGAGACGTCATCAGGAAACGTTGGCCAAGTGCCAAAGCCCAGGGGAGCCAAGTAGGGGTGGCCAGGAAAACAAACCCAACTTTGTTTCATTCAGCGAACAAATATTTTTTCGCCGACTAACTCGTATTAAAACCGCTTGCCCAATGTTAACACAGTTTTCGAAAGTCGTGAATGTGCAGTGAAGGAAATGATATACCATTCAATTTCGGCGTTCAAATATGAAATCGAAGAGTGAGGTGCGACAACTCCAATAATATCCTTATTGAGTAGTCGTTAGGCTTATTACAAGTATTGCAACTAGGTTACTTAAACATTACACATAAAGGTACATACAAACCGGTATAAGAGGAACTCGGTTTAATCAGAAACTGCAATTTTATTTTATACATAAAATTACGATTACGGACTGTAGGTAAACGTGAAATTCTTACATTTGTAATGAATACAGAAATAAATCGATATCTTATAAGAGATTTTTTTCATGTGCTTTAAGAAACCTTAAAAATTGATTTAAATTTGGTTGGAATGGAGTTGTGTACAACAGCGGGCTACGATTAGGACGAGTTGATTGAAACTAACAGGTATCACTGTTCCAATCAATCAAACATGGTTGAAACAGACGTATGCATTCAGTTTCACGAGATCAGTTAGGGTATGGGCGATACGGTTCATTTTAATACCATTTTGCATGCAGAAATTTAAAATCTTTAGTTAGAAAAAGTATATAACATTACTGCCGAATACTGAAAGGCTACTAAATTTTAAGTTATACTTAAATATCGTGCCATCTCTGTAATTTTCCAAAGAATTTGTAATGCCAGAATTCTACTTAAGCCCGACTTAAAACTGATTGCCGTTTGAGTATTTAGACATACGAATGGAAAAACAATTAATGTATTTCTCTTACAATTAAATTTTTCATTCCGAAATCAAATCAAAGTAAGTTTAATTTTCGAGAGACGAGAAGTAATCATGTTGTAGCTCCCATTCCGTCTAAGAACTAACATGATTATATTGGTCTTAATTAAAACATGTGGGAGGTCCCGACCTCAACTACGAAGACCCGTCTGAAAGAGAAATTCGCACATGTGTGAACTTTAATTCCGCAGATTTCTAACTAAGTAATAGCTTGCTCATGTGGAAACAGAAATTAAGTAAAGATGTAAATAGTTTCGGTGTTATACGATTCCATCAGGAATTTCACACAATGTAACGATTTCCCTACACCTAATGTTTTTGGTAGAAACATCATCTTTAAGCCCAAACTAACGAGTACGACTCCGGCACGGTGTTTTTTTACTTTGGAATTTCTTTTTTATTGACGTTATGAAATATGTCATATGATTTAAAGTCTATATTTAAATGACAATGACATTGCTGGGTTGAAGCCGTGCCGGAGCCGTGCTTGTTAGGTGTACCTTTATTCTTATCCTGACAACTACAGTTCTTCTTTTAATCAGAATTCTTCTAATTTTCTGCTTCTAGTCATGTAGGACGCGCTAATTCGATAAAAGCATCTTTACTTTAGTCATTGTCAGATGAAACTATAGAATCATAATCCCAGGACAGCATCTCATCAGTAGATAAGTCCGTGATGAATGAACACTTAATTATCCCCGCTATATTTCGTGATCAAACTGTCCACTTTATAAACGATATCGCCGAAACGTTGATAATATTTTATGAAAGAGCGATTTTAAGTAGCTTTAAATTTTACACTTGGACCTATTATACAGATGATCGAGCACAGCCATTATTGGCGTAGGAGGTGAATTACTTCGGAACTATGAAGTACTTAATATTTTGTTAAACATTTATTACATCCTAGTCTACTAGTGGATATTGTAAGAGCTAATTAGAGAAATACACATTTGACGGAGACCGGCAAGTAACAAAACCCTCAGATAACCAAAGCTGACCCTTTAAAGCAGTGACCTCCAAATCACCGGCCAATCGCGAAACCTATGGCAAACCCTGCTTATGTAGTCTAGCAGTGAACTGCTATGGTATAGTGATAAATGATAATGATTGAACGAATGTAAACACGACTACTATATAGGTACTATACATTTAGATTAGTTTGTGGTTAAAATTATAACACGTGTTTACATAATAACACTCTGTGCCTGCCTCAATGAATCGCTATGAATATGCATTTCGCTGTATGCTAGTGTCCGTTTAAAATAAACCATTTGACAACAAACCACATTTTATAAAAACTAATTTTTCATGTCAAACTGCCGCATTTATAAAGTTACCAAGGATTTGTGAATTCATTATGTTGGTGATTTAATTCTGCATGTCTAACTATTCCATAATAACCTAATTGCCAGATGGTTTCATTGACGTCAAACTAGTTAATGTTGATAAAAACATTAGAACAGTTTTTGTTAACCACGTTTTGATAGTTGTTGCAGATGTTCAATCGCTCACGTTGCGAATCTTATTATTTTAAGGCCTCCGGCCACAAAAATTTAAAAAACACTTACGTTCAATAAGGAAAACTTGAAAACTTAATGTTGAATAACCTCTACCATTAATTTGCACTTTATAAAACTTTTAATAAATTACGTCATATCACAATACCATGAATGCATTTTCCTCAAATTTGATAATTACTAAAATTTGTAATACTTGGTACACATAGGTAAGACGAATTCAAACGTTTCTCCGTAAAGATTGAAACATAATTTAAATAGGATTTCGGTTTTAGCCAACACTTACATACTAATCAGTGTACTTAGAAAACGTTGTCAACAACCCTATTCATTTACTACTTACTAGGCTATGTTGTTTGAGTCTTGCATTTTGTTGGTTCACACAAAGACGTGTGACAAGATACATTATGCATATTAGATACGTGCCTAAGCCTACAATCCGTGGCTTTAAATAACAAGGAGCAAACATCCGACGATCTAGAAGCGGCTATTATTGCCTTCAGTTGACCAGAGGATATAACACGTCTTTATACATAGACCTGTTTATGTATTTCAATTTCTAAGCCAATAGATACATAATATGAATAATTCGTTTTATTACCAGCACCACTTATAAAAAATCATAAAAATGCTGGCAATTTAAGTCTAAAACACCACCAAACATAATTACTGCACGAGAATTTTTTGCAACCATAAATATAGTATTCATACAATAAAAATACATTTCCTAACACCGAACGAATACCATAATTTTGCAATAAAAATTTAACAGTTCAAAAACGATTACTAAATGTGTGCAATTAAACTCTTGTCAATTAACTTGGCCATGTCGAATAATAATTACTTGCAGTATGAAGTATTCTCTAGTGGAGGACAGAGCCCATTTCGAGGCGCAATATCTAGCCCCCCAGGCGAGGCAGGCCGGCCTCAATTGTTTAATCGGCGAAGTTCCTCGATACAGGCCCGGCGACGCGGAAAGTTCAGCTACAGATGATAGGGCATGCTCGTTTCGCTTAATGTTCTACGTTCTACGTTCCTCCAGTGCACTCTGTGTGTAATTACTGCACACATTTAAGACTCATGTCGGCACACATGAATAGAAAACTAGTGCTTCTCACGGATTTGTTCGATTGTGGGTGCGCCACCCAGCCAGGTCACATCCGCGTGCCTTGAAATACACAGTTACATGACGTTGGGAAACAACCGCTGTGGGAAGGGGTTAAATGGAACCGAGGGTATTGTGATGCGTGTCTCATGAATCTAATGTGAAGTAAGTTAGCTGTGACTATTAGCTATTCTTCCAATAACTAAATATTTTATCTTTATGATGATAGCACAAGCCCACTTCTAGTACCAACATGCAGAGGACTCATTCACATCCATTAAATTACTTCGAGCTGATTATAGAACAGGAAGTTTCAATAATGGATTGAATCGGTTGGAAATGTTTCCAGAGATCTTGGACGTGCTCCAACTAATTTGAAAAGAATTAAATCATCTATGTTATTCCAGGAAAACATAAATAGTCACGAGTCACATTCCCATTACACATCAACAACTGTTTTTGTATTGTTACTATATGTTTAAACTGAACCTGCCTCTCGGCAGAAAACGTAAACAAATCTATCGATACAAACAACTACTAGAACAAAGAACAACGTCGAGTCTAGATTTAAGATGCTTGTTAGTAACCGGTGTACCGTGTTCTGCTGCGACGCATGTCAATGTAAACAAAGGGTACGTCTAAACAATATGGCGCGTAATCGACACTAGTTACAATTGCACCAATAAACAAATGCTAACGTGTTATAGGATTATGAACTCTAGTGTTTATTACTGAAGGGTTGAAACCAGTGTGGAGCAAATACTGTCAGTGCAGCTCGGTGAGCGGAGCGCGGCACAGCGCCGGCTGCACGCTTCCGACGGTGACGGCCGTCATGGCTGGCGAAGACGTTGATATCGGCGACACGTTGTTGGAGGAAACTAGCTGCTTATCTTTCGCACCAGCCGACAACTATAATCTTGTGTAGAATCGTTCAACGACAGTACTAGATTCTAAACCCTTTTATCTTAAATGAAATCTACAGTAATAAATGTTAGGCGTAACACCAAAGTTCGGTAGTCAAACATTACAATCATAGCCGTATTTTCAAAGCACCCGGTGGATTCAAATTGACGTGTAAAAGTGCCAATTGTGGGCCATTTCCGTAACGAATCCAATTTCAGTTGATTGCTCTTCCAAATTGATGAATCGTAAAGAACAAAAACAATTTCGTAAAATATCAAATCAAGGAAAATACGACTGTGTATTGCGAAAATGTGTAAGAAAGAGCAGACCTTACTTGACAGGTTTCTTGAAAAGCAATCCTCTTTAAAGAGAATTAACGTCATAAAACAAACTGCAATAAACGTTTGATCTTAGAACGAAGATAAAACGGAGACCAAAGGATGGAGACTGAACGTATTTCTTTTGACAAATTCGTCACAATATAAGTTAATTGTTCCGTAGAAGGACTTTGTAGTATTGCGATTGGCATTTGAACAGTAAGCGTAGTTACTTGTCGGCCTAGCAACGCAGACTGCACAGAACATCATAAGCAACGCATATCGGATGCGGTGTCAAACGCACGTTCCTGGTTCTCTCGCAATTTACATTAAGCTTTTATGCAACCGTTGATCATGTTTTAACAAAAATTATGTGTATAACACTACCACCGATTATGTTATACATAAACAATAACTACAGAACCAACTAGTTAAGGAGCTTTAAATATAATATATGGGCTTTTGTTTTCCTTTATTATATTATTTTTGTATGAATAATAAGTACCTAGTACCTTACCTACCTACAATAGAAAATTATTATATTGTTTTTATTTCCAATTCTCGCTAATTAATTCGTGTAAAATAAATTGATTAGCATATTTACATGGAACGTATTTCCCCAATGTCTGTTGATACGAAGTTAAAAGCAACAGTATATTATTATGTAAGTCTAGGTACAACACTAAGTATTACAAAACATTGGGATTTATAATACTCATAATTAATTGGCAATGACAATAATGGAAATTATACTAACGTAACCCATATTACTTATGTGAATAAGAACCTCGGACCATGATAGAGGAAAATACATACAAGTAAAGGTAAGTTTGTTAGAATTGTTAATCTAATAATACGTAATACGAGATTATTATACTAGAAAATAATACGTTAGTATTGCAATAACAATTCGTTCGCAAAAACCAGTTACAAATCCCGAGTGTTCTATGAAGAGCGGTGCATCGTACAGATTTTTGCCCGATGACACAATAGCTGCTATGAACCGTGAAAATTCTCACGGCTCATTTCTCATATAAAATATATATACAAACACATAGTTCAACCTATCAACCTTATTTACATTGACAATACACTCGAGCACCGACCTCGTGTTCACAAAAAAAACACGTTTCGCGTTCTTTGATGGGAAAAGTGACGTACCTGGAACAAAGGTAAAAAATCTATTATTGACACGTTATTTTCCATCAGAGAGGAAAGGCGTATTCGCCATTTCCAACATAAAATAAATCTGTATAAACGCACAGTTATTTTCAGCTCCTCAATTAACAGCTCGTATTTTATCACAATGTGCAATAAAGATTAAAGGTAGCTGGATATTGTACAATACTGGTGGGGATATTAAATGTTCCGTCAGGAAGTCAATCATAAAGATAAAGCGGTTACGCACAAACGGTCCTGTGAATTGCAATACAGCCCGCACAGTCCACGCAGTGCCCACGCACACACGTCATCAAGCCAATCTGACAACTTTATCACCTCGTAAACCGACCGGGATACGTCACATGTTAATTACCGTATTTCAAGCTAAATGTAGGAATTAATTTAATATTCATTGAGTCCCATATCCGTGGCTATCAAATCCCTGCGCCGTGTTGCCGATGCATGGGTATCATTAAAGTGGTCGTCGCAACCGCAGACACGTTCAACTCTAACATCGCTTAATTGTAATTGCTATACAAGCTCAGCGAAATGCAAACCAAATAGTAGTTCACTAGTGCTAGTTTCCGCTTTTTGTTGCGCTGTTATATTCCCTAATTCCTACATTCGCTAACAATTTCATCAAACGAACCCCTAAAATGATCCGCATAATAATATTCGTATGATTCCGACCCCTTATTGATATAGCAGGGTGACATCACTATTTAAGTGGTATTTATGTAAATATGTCAAAGTAGACTAGACTTGCAGAGTCACGAGATTAACGATGTTCCCGCCTCGAGCGACGTGTAACCCTCAACGTGATACTACAAATATGTTGAACGTTCATTTTATCAAGAATGGCTGGCTGCATGTGCACACTGGGTTTACGACTACATTATACAATATAGGATAGGAAACGGTTTTCAATACATTGTTCCTTACATCACAAATTGGTTGAACCGAGTATAGCAGAACTATCTTTTAAAAACTTAGGAGGTTTATTTATCTAAAAGTTAGCTTACTGATAACATAAAACAGAATAGTCTAATAACACTTTTTCCATTCAAATAAGACTATGATCGGTGATCGCTATTATATCTACCTCTAGAAATGATATTGCAAGCTTTTAAGACCGCAAACGTCTCGTCCATTCTATTTTGAAATCCAAACGTTCTATTAACCATTGGAGTTTCCTGGTAGATCGAAGTGGTTACGGCATTGGTTTCAATTCAACTATTTTCGGATTATCGCTCCGAGATTGCACTTAAGTGCCCTGTCGAAGAAAATTATGTATGAGTAGTTCTATGTAGATGGTCTTTGAAAACGTAATAAACTTAAATATAGTAGTAGTAACTAAATAAGTACAGATAGTCCAATTAAATTATATTGCTGTAATTAGTCGCAGGGTGTACCATTGTATTTCGCGTCATCGTTACACAATGCGGGCTCGTCTAATCCACAGCTTAATGTCGCTACTCTGCTAGTACTTAAGCTCTTAATAATCGGGTGATGTTTCATCTAAGACGTCCTTCGTCTTAACAAGAAATTATTATGAGGATGAGTCTGCAGTAATGAAGAACTATACGGTATTCTGAGACGAGAAACATTAAGCTCTATAAGAACAAACAAAATTTTAAATAGTAATTAGATAGAGGAATTGTATCTGACTACAGACGTTTTCTATTAGTAAACAGATCTAGAAAATAAAGCTATAGCACAAATTTTACTAACTAATGTTGGACAATAATGTCTAGATATTATGTATAAGTAGTATGTATGGGTAGTATGCATGGGTCGGTTGCAGTCGTTGTTGAGTTATTTGTAATTAACTCTAAAAGTAAAGATGTACCTTACATTTTGACTTTACCTTACAATATTCAACTAAGATCAAGTTGTTGTTACTGTAAGAAGGTAAAATACAGCGAGCAGTGTCGAAACTGCCGCATTCTATCCACTTTATAGGTCATTTCATTTATTCCATTCACTTATTTCCTTCGAAGAGATCTCCTGTTACGACCGAATGGGTTTCACAAATAAACCTAATTCTATCTGAACAATACGATGTTTCTTTTCAATTTCACAAATTAAACGGCTCGCCCCTAGAACCCGGATAATCCGTTAAAGATGGCGGAGCGACGAAAAAGAGCGTGCACTTGACAGCCAAAACTTAGTGAGTTCGTATTCCAATCATGGTTATTTTCACTTAATTTCGTATTCCGCAAATAATTACCCGGTACTTTGGGCCCTATAGGCGTTTCGGACGTGATTATTTTTGCATAATAAGTTCAATAGAAGCCTTAAAACTGTGCTGAGTAATGAACGTGACGTTATACAAAACTGCGACGGCTTTATTAAATAAATATGCAGGTGACTGAAAGTATTAATTTATTAAAATATTTACGAGAACCGAACGGTAATAACGTATTTAATAGTTTGTGTGCCGGGTTTAAACTGGAATACATATTTGGTACGTCAACATTTTCCGGCTTAAAGGTTGCGAGTGAAAACCATGATTGCAGTGCGGTCTCGTTATTGGAGAGAATTTATTTTTAATAATAATTTACCTGCAATCGGATTAAATTGAAACCTTATACATTGAAGTACCTACTCTATAAAAAGCTTTCCATGAATATTAAAGGTACTGCCAATGAGTTTGAGATAAACATAACGATTAAAGTGAAAGTCAATATTACCATATCCATTAATACAGATAAATATTAATGGACATACGTCATACATATTACCAACAGGGTATATAATTAAGAAAAAGTTACTTACCTAATTGATGATCAATCGTAATTAATTAACTGTTGCAACAGCAGATACTTTGAGCCGTTAAAATATATTTCGTAGTTTTCGTAAGTATATTGGTAATTCCAAAGAAATAAGTAAGTACTCAACTTCATTCAAAATATTGTAATACAAATTATTTTAAATACAAGATCATAAAAACGCAACAAATAAAAAACAATAAAACGTAGGTAAAAAATGCGAAATCCCCAATCAAGTTATTTTGTTCACTAAATCGATTATCAAAGTCAAACAACATACTGTAGACGGGGATTCCACAAATAGATAATAGTCATTTAGTAGATTTCGGACTATTTTTATATATACCTTAATTACCTACCTACTTTACAGAAGCCTGATCTTATTAAGCCTGCCTCGCCTGCTATGACTGGCTTGACTGTTGGCCGAGAGGTCGCAAGTGCGACTACCGGGCAAGGGGTCTCGGGTTCGATTCCCGGGTCAGGCAAAGTATTAATACGTTTTTAAAAAAAATCTCAGTAGTAACACGGAGTCTGGAATTGTGTCCGGTACATGGCAATAGGCTCATCCTCTATTACATAGTGGATGTTACATTGGTACGTATGTACAAACCTACAGTGGCATAATTTGCACCTGTGATATTATGATGTTAGGTATGATCTTAGTAAGGAAAGCTAGAAATTAACAACACCCCTAAAAATACACATAGTAACGTAGTACAAAACCTAAAACGCTAAAAATACAGTCACCAGAATTTCCTCGTGATTCAGAATCAGAGCTAAATACAGAGTAGATAAATAAAACAAGTCAAATAGTAGACGATAATAATTATTTGCAAACATATCGTAGCACTTGCAATTAGCATTAAAGACATCAGATCCACCGCGTCAACCGCACATGGGAAACCATACAAGCGGAATTGTGGCAACAGTATCTTATTAGCACGACTTTCGCGAATTGTCACCGAAACAAATTAACGTACCCATTAACAATTACATACACGTTCCGACTTCAATTTACTTGCTTAATTAGTCACAGCCGATACACAAACCGAGTAATAAATCATTAGCCAGCCAATTAACAGTAATTTCGGCTTTGTGACACGACATCGATAGATTTGTACAAGCTGCTATAAT